GGGGGGGGGGGGGGAGAGGAGGGCGTTCGGTTGGTAGGGGCAGAGGCATGGTGGTGGAGGACCGAAGCGGCGCGCCGGAAGGCGGCAAGGTCAGCGGACGAGGCAACGGTTTGGGTGGAGGCGAGGCAGCCCGCACACCAGCACGCCCCGCAACGCGCGCGTCGGGGCGGCGGCTCACCGGCGATGGCGACCGCGCTCTCAAAGGCGTGCACGAAGCCCTCTTTTGCAAGCAGGAAGGCCAGCAGGAACGCGCCGAGCGCGATGAGCACCACGATCGTGGCCAGCCACCTTCCCAGGATCTCCATCTGAATGATCAGGTTCGTCTTGGTCGACTCGACCTGTTGATAGAGAGCCATATCCGAGGAGCGAGCCCCATCCATTAATAAGAAAGCGTGGCGCGGCAGGGTTGGGGTGGGCGAGCAGCGGCGGCTGGGTCGAAGGAAGGACAGCGGCGGGGGCTGATCCCGCAGCGCCCGCCGCCTCATTGTCTGCACCAGGCCTCGCCGACCCACTAGCAAAGGGCGCAGCCGTAGCAGGCGGAAGGCAGCAAGGCCCCCCAAGGACCGGCCGGCCAGCGACCAAAGCCCCAAGGCCTCAACGCGCCCCAGATCGCCCCATATCGGTTCAGATCGCCCCAGGTCGCCCCAGATCGCGCACCTGGCTGACGAGCTTGTTGATCTGGCCGATCTGGGCGTTGTCGCCGGTGGCCACCACCACGCCCAGGCCCTGGCCTGCCGACACGGTGGTCGCGCTGAACGCCATGCACCTGAGAGGCGACCAATGCATGCCGATTGGGGGTGTTGAATGAACGGTTTATAGCACAACGCGCCTTGCATGCGCCAGCTCACGACGCCGACTGTCAACAGCGGCCGCTTCCTAGGCCGCGAATGGGGTCGGCTGAGCGGGGCAGCCGCGCGCGCGCGCATGGCTCCACGGCTGCGCCACTCCCTGACCCCCCGCCTTCCGGCGGACAGGGCGCTCACTTTCGGTCGCCGAGTCCAGAGGCCTCCGCCACGGGGATGAGGTTCTTGCTGATTGAGACCGACTCCCCAGTCAGCATAGCTTCTTGGACCTGCAGTGGGGCCGCGTTGTGTATGTGACAGTGTGCATGTTTGTGTGAATGTGTACCGTATTTTTGTCAGTGTTCATACGTGTGTGTGTAAGCATGTGTGCATGTTTGTGTGCGCGCGTGGGCAATCGCTGTGGGGGCCAGCATTATGTGTTTTTTAGGGGGTGGGGCCTGGCAGCAAAGGAAGGGCCGATGGGAGCGCGCGGGTCGCCGCGCCGCAGCGTGCCAAGCGCGGGCGAGGCGGCCGCAGCGCCGCGCCTGCCGCCTGGGCGGCGCCGCCGCCCTGGATGCAACGCTGGCCCCCAAATCCGTTCGTGGCGGGC